ACGAATCAGCCTGATAACCAGGCAGTCACAATTATTGATTGGTCCACGCGGAGGGAGGTGCTGCCGTGTGTCCTTTGTCGTCGCGAACACTTTTTAATTGACAGCTCACCCGCACTGCCGATGGTCAACTTACTTTTGAAAAACGTTAAAATCGCATAAACAGACGAGACTAGAACGTTTTCAAACAACGCTTTCTTACAAAATATAGAATCGCAATGCACATTTAATGCTCTGATGAGGAACCATCTTGAGTTAGTATTATGCTTCGTTTTAACGCACAGCGAAATGTTTTAATGCGTGCGCAACTAGCAATGTAATTTATTGGCGCTAATGCGATAACTGGTATACGTACCGTGGTGAAAAATTCACTCTCGGCGTGCCGCGTTCACCATGACGGGCGCACCCACCACCTCCGCTGGCGTTGATCCTCCAGCATCATTTGGGCCAAAAGGACCTTCTTCTGAGCTGAGAGGGCATGTGTGACGCCCGCTCAGCTCACCCTATGGCTCCCAGAACTGTCCGAAACAACTTGACCGGTAGTAAGCAATGCTATGGGATGAGGTAAAGCATCAGCGCTTTTCTGGAACGGGGAGAGTGGGGTGAAAAGAGAGGTGGATAAAAGGGAAGAGGAGAACAGGAACGCGTGCACTCGGCATGAGCCTTGGTGATTGTGGCGTCACGGCTTGCGTGCAGCCGCCACGCGCTGACAATCCATCAAAAATGCAGCCTACTGTTCAAATATACTCTGTTTATCGAAACAGTCACATCTTCCGAGTAGAATTTCGAAGTTTTCGCCAGATTTTCCCAGTTTTGTCCTGAAACAGAAGAGGAAAAAGCACGAAGTAACATTCTGCAAGCAAATGACATCAATGACATGTACAAAGAAAAATAACAAATTATACAACAGCCAGCTTACTCGCATCTATTAGCGAAAAAAAATTATCGTTATTTATATTATATTTACTTATCTGTTCGCTGGCATATTTGTAAAATACGCGTGAGGCAACTCTACCCAAGTCTTCATTCACTTTACTTTTTTTTTGCTTGGCGAAGAGATACCGCTTTAGTAAGGTGGCCCATGAATAGTGGCATAAATGCATATATGTCACAAAGGTTTGGGAGGGGGGGGGGGGGGGGCACACATCGTGTTATGGCGGCTATTTTGTTTCTTAGAAATATGTCTTCTTTTTACATTATAGTAAAAGTTAAAGTCATGCTTGAAATAAGTGAAATAAAGCGAGATGGGCGTCAGCACGCTCGGCGCTAGGAGAATGTAACGTCTATGAGCAGGAGGAAGCTTACTGCGTTGGTGAAGTAAAGTTTCGAAGTTTAACTCATTAATGGTTTCTGGCATACTTCTAGTCAATATGCAACATTGAACAGGCAGTGATTGCTCAGTTACATTTTCATTCATTTCCATGTTTTTAAGTCACATAAAACACAATCTTTTCTTTGCGTAGAAGTGTGAGATGCACGGACACGCACGCATCGGCGGGATTCTTGCGTTGACTGTGCAAAATCGTGTTACGTCGCGTCTGGGAGAGGGAGCGAGTTCTGGTGTAGCAAAGGGGGAAGTAGGTATGTGCTGATTTGTCTTGAGAAGGGAGGAAGTGTTCTTTCGCAACCACTCATCACCCTGCATGCAGACGCCCATGAAGACACTTTCGGCCTGACGTTCCGTCATTCCGGTTCTTGAGGACCGCGTTTAGGAGACGCCGTTGGCTGCACTGAAGACACGAAAGGGGCTTATGCAGCCGAAAAGTAATGAACAATTATTGATGTTGAGTTGACGTTAAAAAAAAAAAACGCCCAACGTGGGGCTCGAACCCACGACCCTGAGATTAAGAGTCTCATGCTCTACCGACTGAGCTAGCCGGGCGATGTGCACCGAGTTGCTTATTTCTGTATAAAAATGCGAAATACCACAACCTATTGTTATTTGTTGCAAGATTTTGATGTTATAAAGTTTACGACCCAGATACCTTAAACTACGAAAGCCAAATGATGCCATCATTGCCCCAATGTCATTGTTATCTGTTCAATAGCGACCTGTGGAAAAACGCGAAAAATTACGCCTTGGTGCTTACCGTTCGGCTGGGGTAGCTAGTTTTGCTCTCAGCAGCGTAATGGCATAGCGAGTTACTCTACTGGTGCTGAAAGGGGCAAGCGCGAACCTTGATATCACTCAACTTTATTTCTATGAGTGCGTTTCGATATCATCCTAACCACGACATCGATCTGGTATGAAATCTTTTCAACAGATGGCGTAGACGGCAACATCTCTCGCAGCACCACGTGAAGAGCAAGGGGAAAAAAAAAGTAAAGAAAAAGGGCCTTGCCAACGTTGAGAATTAGGCTTATCCGCTGTCGACGTTGCTGGCACGTACGGCGTTCCAAAATATGTTTAACTAGTCATCTCAATTACGCCAAGGTGAGAAAATGCTCTTCATCCACACTGTCCCGAGGCCGTTGGCATGAACGTTGCACCGCTGACCGCGAACTGCGCGTGCCATGTTACCGATATGGGGCGATGGCAATGCGCTTGCTGAAATCAAGTCGGCATTGCCCTTACACAAGCAGTCTTACGGGCGCTCAAAAATTATAGCGTTGCCGCTCAGTATGCTCGTGGTAAAAAATTATTGACGCGCCTACTTGGCTTCGGGAGCTGTTTTGCACAATTTTACGCAGCGATATGTTCACTCAAGGTGAAATCTTCGTCTTTGCCCGCGACAAAACACCGCACGCACAGCTGTGCAAGGCGGCTGCGCCAGTCACAAAAAGAAGTGTTAAGTATTCTGTGCATGCCTGCGTCGATTTCTCGTCCCTTAAGAAGACGTTGATGAGCTGTCACGTCGTCCTTACAACTGCAGGTGATTGCTCCTCGTAGAAACTGATTCGCGGCGTGGCCAAGTCGCTGAAAAATTCATCGACACCACGAGATCGGTGGCAGTGGCGATTCTTGCGGGTTATCGAGGGAGGCTTGTGGCGGTTTGCGAAAACACTCGGTCGCCTGAGGGCCCGTTTAATTATTCAACTGCGACGTACTCGTTGCAGAAGCTGCTCATCCAGAACCTAACCCTTTTACACCTTCGCAGTTTCAGGGAAACCCGTTGTTGCCGAGACCTGTCAGCATCATTTGGTGTTTCGACAAGCGATATGATTTGTCGATTAAGCGCACAGCGTAACAGAACTGTTGAACGGGAGTCGGACGTCTGCAATATTTTGATCCCAATTATGTGATGACGCTCGCTGCATAAAATTACGCTTCCAGTTACAGTACACCCTACTCACCCTACTGCTTGTGTTTTTGTTCTCGTCTGCAATTCATCTGCTCGTGCCATGTAACACGATTGTAGTTATGGGTCTTCTGACAGCGGACTTTACAAAAATGTCTCCTACAAAGATTTATGTTGTGTTTTCATTTCCTTCTGCAGGTCGCCATGGAAGAAGAACAGCTAGATTGTGACTCAGTTGTCTACCAGTGCGGCGCTTGCGACGAGCAGTTTTCCTCTCTGGAAGAGATAGAGCAACACCACAGTGCAGATGGAGGAAACATGTGTCCATTCATGGTGGCAGCTGTTATGCAGCCTCAGGTTGATGGCAGTAAGGCCGAAGTTGTGGTTGTCTCGGGAGACGTGATAGTTCCGGATGAAGTCACTCTTGCCGAAGATGTTGATGATCCCGAGTCTATAGTAGTCGAAGCGCTTCCGGCAACCAGTCACGGGCACACCTGCGCCGTATGCGGGTGCAGCTTCAGCTCAAAGTTCCTCTTGGCAGCTCATGAGCAGTCGCACCAAACGAATGAGCAGAAAGTCCATGCCTGCGAGCTGTGTAAGCAGAAATTCAGTGACTCGAACGAGTATGTCACCCACCTTGTGTCGAGCCACACCAAGAAGGACCACTGCTGCACCATCTGCTACAAGTGGTACACATCGCGCAGCAACCTGAAAACCCACATGATGATTCACGCTGGACGTAAGCCGCACCAGTGCGATATCTGTGGCCGCCAATTCACCGTGTCGAGCAACCTGAAGGCTCACCGGCGCATCCACACTGGCGAACGCAAGTACGTCTGCCAAGTGTGCAACAAAGGATTCATCACCTCTACACACCTCAAGACGCACATGGCAGTGCACACCGGCGAAAAGCCATACCAGTGTGAGATCTGCTTTCGCGAATTTGCTGTCAACAGCAACATGCGTGCCCACATGCTGACACACACTGGCGAGAAGCGGCATGAGTGCCAGATTTGTGGGAAGCAGTTTGCCACCTCGAGCCATGTAAAGACGCACTTGCTGTCCCACACAGGCCAGCGGGATCACAAGTGCCCGACGTGCAACAAGAGCTTCACGGTGGCCTCCAACCTCAAGGCACACATGAAGATCCACTTGGGCCAGCGGGACCACGCGTGTGACCTCTGCCACAAGCGCTTCTACACTAACAGTGACCTCCGGTCGCACAAGATGATCCACACAGGCGAAAAGCCATATCAGTGCGACGTCTGCAACGAACGCTTCACCAAGATGTCTAACCTCAACTCTCACCGCACAACGCATACGGGTGAACGGCCCTACCAGTGCGAAGTCTGCCTCAAACGTTTCCGAAAGTCCGTCAACTTGCGAACACACGTGCAGACGCACCAGTCGGACCGGGCTTACCCATGCACACAGTGCGATGAGGCATTCCCGAACATCACACGACTCAGGGCGCACACGAAAAAATGCCACCAGGAAATCTTTAGCTGCGACACATGCAGCCGCAGGTTTTTGTCGCGTGCGGCATTGGGGGCGCACCAAAGGATTCACTCGGACGCATACGCTTTCTTCTGCATTATGTGCGAGCGGTCATTCGCCAAAGAGCAGCATCTGGTGAAACACATGGAGGCACACGCAACAAAGAAAAATGAATGTCCCACCTGCAACCTGCGGTGCACTTCGACGAATCAGCTTGAGATTCACATGCGGACGCACACGGGCGAACGGCCGTACGCCTGCAGCTTGTGTCCGCGCCGCTTTGCAAAGCAGGTCAACCTCAAACGCCACATGCAGATCCACACGAAAGTCAAGTTTGAGTGTCAAGTCTGCCTAAAAAACTACATTTCGGACAAAACGCTGCAGTCGCACTATCAGAACTGTCACCCCGACTTTCATGCCGAAGCAGATTGCACAGATGCCACAAATGAAATCCATATTGTTGTCAACCGGGATCCTAGTGAGGACTTCATTGTGGAGTACGAAGGTGAAGTGGAAAGTTTAGAAGAGGATAGCGAAGAGGCAGGCAAGAGTGAGGCTGAAACTGAAACACAGCAGCTTGTGATGCAAGCAGAAGTGCAAGAGAATACAGCTGTTGAGGCAGTGTAACTGGCAATGTATAGAGCCTCCTAGAAAACACAGGAGTCTTTACAAAAATAACCAAAGGTTTCTTGTGGACTTCATTCTGGGAAATGTTAAACTAAATGTTGAAAAAATTGAATAATAAATGGCTACAACTGTGGCTATTTCACAGGTTAATGTTTGTACATTAGAGCTTGCAAGATAAGCTATAATTAAGCACAATTTTTTTACTATATTTCAATCTTAGTCGTGCAAGATTAGTTCTTTTTCAGGATATAACATTTGGCTTCCACACGACCGTAGCTGCTTTTACGCTTTGATGCATTTGTGACGTGCATTTTTTTTTTGTCGCATTGATTGTGTGTGTAGCTGATTGCATTGCTGTGGAAGTTAGAAATTCAGACAAATTTCACTGAAGCATTAACGCAGTCAGTACTGCCAGTTTAACTGCAGAGGCATTGCCTTTGGGGAAAAACCTTTTACGATACAGCATTTGCAACTTTGCTTACCGTTCCCCTCCTTTTTCCTTTTTTTAAAAAGGGCCAATTCAACGTACCTTTGCCATTCTCATATGCTCTTTAAGCAGTCGTGTGTTGTTTATCTAAATGCACGATTTGCTTTAGTAAGACAATAGAGTGATTGGACAACAGTGCAATAAAAATAGATAGCTTGTATTATAGTGGATAATGCAGCCTTGTGTTAAGGGAAGCACACAAAGCATATTGTTCGCATTAAAATTTGAAGTTTACTTGCAGAATTAGATTTTATTGCCAGTGTATACAGCTAGTCTACAATAAATTTAGCTGGTGTTTGTAAATTTTTTACAGTATAAATGGGGAGCTGTGTGCGGGCATAGATTGAACAGGCCATGACAAAATGCTCAGCTATGCATGTTGTTCCAGCAGGCGTTGGTTGTTCATAACTCATTCGACAACTATACCCCCCACCCAAATTTTGATGGAGGGGGTATTTTAATAAAAATCAGTAATTACATAGTTGTTTTTCTCTACAGTCAGACATTAAGCAGATGTCCCCCTCTCTCTGAAAAATACCCCCACCCAAATTTTGATGGGTTTTTTTTTCCACAGTCAAGCATTGAGCAAATGCCCCCCTCTCTCTGAAAAATTTCCTGGCCTGATTTGAGAGTAGACGAGAAAATGCCCTCATTGGTTTACTCATTATCTATGACCAATGGTGCACTCAGTCTTTGTAAGTCCAGGTGTGGTCCCAAGTGGTTGTTTTACATATAGAAATTGAGCTATCGAGGACCAGCAAAGCTGTTCAACGCACGACACATAGGAGAAACATCGGTAAAACCTATTGGGCTAGTCAGTGCATGTCACAAAAAAATTAGACTACACAAACCGCTGTGAAGGACTGGTGAAAAAACTCTTTCCTTTTGCCCATCCGTCTTGGTTGTTTGTATGATCAAATTTTTTTGAGACACAAATAACACAGGATTTTCTGATCGCACACCATGCAACTGAATTCTGTTCAGAAATGCCTGTTTAAATTTGCCTTATGCTCCTTTAAACATTTGATTTGACTGCGACAGATGCTCAGTCTTGTCTTCCGCATGGCACATACATCGGCGTTGGATGTGCATGTGTTGCCTTCATTTTTAATGGACCAGGTGAGCACTCGCAGGGCCAGGGTGGGGAGGGCGTTGGCGCAGAGGTTCAACCCCACCGAAAATATAAAATCTCACTTTTGTATGTATGTGTATCTGCATCCACACATGCATACATACAGGGTGGTTTAACGCTCTCTCTGCAATAAATTTGTGGCTACGCTCTTGCAGTGACTAGTGGAAGGGATTGCCAGATACCTGTGATACATTGCTTTTTTTCTGCAAATAGGTTGCCTATGCCGCAAAACAGCCTTGCCTCAACCTACATTATTATCAAAATCGTGAGGTTCTGGGCTCCTTGGTACCGGTTTTGCTTCTACTTTAGAACGTAGGCATCCTTTGTCATTTGTTTGTCGTGTCCCAAGGGATTCCCGCCAACGGCTAGGGGCGACGGGTCATGCTTGGCGTAATTGACTGACGTTTTAATAAAGTTTTCTTTACCTCTCCTCATTTTCACCAAGGATGGTTCAAGCGCAAATCGCCGTCACCCTAGCACTCGCTTTAATTTAGATCTTAAGCATTACGTTTCTTCAAATAAGATGTTGATTACCCTAGAGAATTGCTTTTGGAGGTAACACCAGGGGACACAATTTACCAGGGGTGTAATGAACGAAGCTGTAGATTTCACAGAAGAAGAAAAAAAAACGCGCACCGGTGGCGACATCACATTGAGTGGGTAGGTGCCGATCATCCTACGAACACCATATACCACCGAACTAGAAAACATTCTAGAACACTCTACCAAAACAATAAAACCCTAGGGTCATTGGCCCGTGGGCTTTGCTTGGCTTCGTGCGCTCGGTGCGGCGAAACAAGCCGGCTGGCTCTGCAGCCGCGACGAAGAAAACGGTGCTAGTGTCGGACGGTCCGCTGTGGGCCAGTCACAGCCCTTGTTTTTCCGTCGAAACCGTGACCACCGGTGGATCAAAGGCCCGGTCAACCGTTCGTATCAGTAGAATCGTAAGTGCATCGCTTCATGGTTGTTTTTAGCGGCACAAGCTAAAGCTTCTGGAAGTTCTAGAACCCCAATCCTGTGCCGCGTGGGGAGTGTGTCTCTCGGAAAACTCCGTAATTCAAGCGTTGGTCTCTTTCAGAAGACAAAATACGTAAAGAATGCCCGTGATCACGGAAATTGACGAAGACGTCAAGCTCCGAGTGGGTCCAAAGGGAGATGGTCCGGACGCAGTTGCCGAGGTCGCCAAAGGCGACGGCAGAGAGGAGACCTCCAGTGGTTCGAGGGCCGTGAAAATTGACGGTTCAGGGGATGACGACGACGATGACTCGGACATGCCGCCGCTGGAGAGCTTTGACGCCGGCGCCGAAGAGTCGTCAGCCGACAAGGCGACCAAGAAGAAGGAAAAGAAAATCGTAATCGAAGACGAGGAACCGGAGAAAGAAGTCGACGAGGACGGCTGGCTAGACGTCCTCGGAAGCGGCGAACTCAAGAAAAAGGTTAGTTTAGAAGCGCTGAAACGACATATTGCGCATGGGGTAATCGTGCGACAGATGTGTGCCTTAAGCTGCTTTGCTTGAAAAGCTTGCTGTTGAGCGATCGCTTTTTTGATCAGCTGTTTCTCAGAATTTTTTTCGGTTAGTCTCGCCGAAAGAAACTTGGCAATAAAATGCCAAGAGTACACGTGACAAGCAAGCTAGTCCTGTGTTGTGTTTGCGCAACATTTGCTGTTGAACGTAAATGTTTTTAAACCGTATTCAGGGGAAAGTCATTTAGGCTTCCAGTTTTGTCTAGAGCAGGGAGATGCCGTGTTTAAAGAAAGTGTAGTGCCTCGACATGTCCACAAATTAGATACATTTCTTGCACACAGGTGGCTGCAGCAATGCACTCGTGTTTGGCGCAGCATGATAGCACAAAATGAGGACATGTGATAACACAAGCACTTCTTTCACAGTGTCGTTTTGTGGGATTGCTCATGCACTATGTACCAGCAAGCCTAATATGCTCTTGTAATATGGTCGGTGACTGTGTTTCGGCTAGTCAACATGTACACAGCTTGTGGGCAGTGTGTAAGCTGTGTGCTGAATACAGCTAGAAGGATTCTGTACCCTCATAGCTATTTCCTTACACAATACACACCTTTCCCAGATGCCTGAATTTGTGCCTCTTCAAAAACAGTATGAAAGATGTACAATTGCTCAACAGCTGATAACTCCACCATACGTTGCCCCTGTAGAAGTTACGGAGCGACGAATTTATTGAGAGAGTCTGGAAATTGGGAAACTTGTCTTGTGTGCGTTCTGCATTTCTTGCTTTTGTTGCAATTTTGAAAAACACCAATGGGAACGTACAGTGTGACTGACACATTGCAGTGAACCAACTCGCCAAGATTGAAGTCTTGTTGAAAAACAGTTCATGAGCTGCACAAGTTGTTTGCCTTGCATCAGTTTGTCCACGGCGCTTGAAACTGTAAACGCCATGCACACCTCTCGACGCCTTTGTTGGTTTATTTATGCTCCTTTTTTTTTCTTTTATGCATCACAGGCTCATATTGATGGGACTAGCTATTTAAGTGAAGTACATCGCAAAAGCAGCAAGTCGACCCCGAGCTAGGTTTGGATGATACACTGTGTAACATTTCATTGCTTATGCACATTTGGCACATTAAGTGTTGACTGAACTTGTTAATGCTAGAGCATAAAGGCAGCACCTATTCTCATAATATTCCACATGTTTAAGTTATGTGCCTATAAATAACTTCATAGTTTGTTCTTCCATTTGCATATTTATTCTACAAAATTAATCTCACTGGCATTCATACGGTTATGGCATCACCAGGAGTTATAAACAACAATAATTAAAGGGGCCATGCAACACTTTTCCGAGTAACCATCGAACGGCTTCACTAAAGAAGTTTATTGCCTCATGAATTGATTGCCGCAAAAATTTTTAAGTTCGTCAAGTACGAGCAGAGTTGCAGAGCTTTGTCTCTTTCCTTAATTGCTATCTCTTTTCTTTGGTCCCGAGGGGTGCACAGTAAGCTAAGCAGGAATTGGCGGCACGAGGACACAAAGTTACGTCATCTGCGACTTATGACTTCGAGCGCTTTTTTTTTCCTCCGGATGTTTGTCTTACTTCCAGTGGGTCGTGAGCATCAGGGGTGCACCAGTAGGGGGCAAGGGTGGGCTGGAGCCCCCCAAAATTTACGCCTGCCCCCCTTTGCCACCCCACCCCCACCCAAGAACAAGCATAGTCAACACACAAACACATGTGTCCTTAGCCTACCTGCCCCCCTAAAGGAACTCGCTTGTCGTCGGTGATCCTCCCTCATAAAAAATCTGGCGCCGTCCCTGGTGAGCGCGTTATCAATTCACAGTTTGCCGCTGTGGCTGCAGTGCCTATGCAGTCCTCACTGCTCAAATCAGTCAGTGGCCATAAATTTAAATACATGGTATCATTTGTAGAAAGAAGAGGGAAGGATTTCTAGCTGATTTTGAGAATGAACGGTGAATTCCAGAACCGCATGCTTTGCTATAGTGTTTGGCTTGTGTGTTGAAGGGAGCCGCAACGATCGATTGGCTGAAAAACTGTTGCAGGACCTCTTGAAGTTGTATATCAGTTTAAGTCCTCGTTACCATCAACTAATGTGCACATAACAGTCAACCACTAAAAACATGACGAACTTCCTAGAGATGCTTGAAAGACGGACAGGTCATGGCCACTAAACTCAAAAGGTGATTTGCACAACAGAGTGTAATTTGGCCTATGCCAATGCCACACACAGTAAAGTAGTTTCGTCTCAATATTAGCAGCAATCATTAAAAAAAAAACTGTTGCACAAGTAATTGTAAATTGTTCAATGAAGCAAAAGATTTGTTTGGGCATAGTTATCGAGCATCGCATCGCTGATATGAGTGTTGGTAAAGTGCACAGACACCAGGGTATTCACAGTACACAGCTGAGTGAGAGAACAGAATCTTGTTATCCTAGTTGTGCTGGTTGTTCTGGGTTCCGGATCATGTTGTGCAGGCTTGGTTTTCTTTGTTCATAAAGCGTAAGGCAGAGTATGCACTTGGTTTTAACGGCAAAGAAAATTAATACCAGGAACTTGTTTTGCTGAAAGTTGTCCGAATTCCTGTTCACAAAAAAAGGTTCTTGTAACACTTTCTTGTGTAGGTGATCAAGCCGGGCCTGGGCAAAGACTCTAGGCCGCAGCGGTCCAACTGGGTTGTGCTGAACGTGAAAGGCACACTAGAAGATGGCACTGTCTTCGAGGAACATAACGACTGGCGCATCATCTTGGGGGACATGGAAACTGTCTGTGGTGGGTGATGTGAGCATGTGTTACAGGGAAAACTGTTATGAGAGAGCGGCTGATTTCGCTTGAATAGTTGTCTACTGCTGCCAGTTTGTGTAACTGCTCTTGCATGCAATGAGAAAAGAAATGTCTCGGATAGGATGGGATTTGAACCCAGGCCCTCTGCTTGGCAGCCAAGTATTTATCATAGTGCCATGCTAGAGCCTCAAACTACATCAAAAAAGACCTTATACAAGCATCGTGCTGGGTAAGGAATCATATTAATAGATCTAGTACACTTAAACCTCATTATAATGTTTCTTCTTACACGAAAATTAGTTTGTTATATCCAAACATCTTTTGTAGAGCTAATTTCCTAACATTATAATTATTCGAAGAATATTTTTCATTTACTTCGCTTTAACAGATATTTTATTATATTTGGCTTGGTTATATCAGTGTTTGAGTGTATAGCGTGATAGAAGAAAAGAAAAAAAGGTTAAGAATTTAGAAGTGACTGTCGTCTGGAGCGGCCACACAGACTTTCTTGAGTTGTTTGTTTCTTGGGCTCAAATTCGCTCCAACCACTTTGTTTCATTAAGGTGCACCTTTTATTGCACGTTACAATATCGTGGTTATGGCACATGTGATTCCTAATTTCGTTTTTTAGGCCCAGTTCTTGATAGTCCCCATTTTTCAAAATAAGCAACTTTCTAGGGTGCCTGCGTACAGTTGCTTATGTACATTACAATAGCCAAGGCTACCGACAATGAATTTGTCATCTTAACTCTTTCATGCATTTTTATCGGGAAACAGCTCTTCATTTTGATATTCAGCATTAGCTACTCATACAACATGCTCTCCTGCACTATCAACTTAGCAGGAACAGCACATGCTTATATATCTATAAAAATGCCTCAGCTCCAATGTCTAGCACGCCTTAAGGATGACAGCAGGAGGAAAACAAATGTAACATGTCACATTAAAGGCCACACAAAGCAGCGTCATCTTTGTCAGATTGTCAAAAGCTTAGGAAAATATGCCATTGAAAATCATACACGTGGGGCTCACGTGTCTGAACAAAGAAATTAAGAAAAGATGGTTATCAGGGGTGACCACCGTGCTGGAAAGAGTTGAAGGATGTAAGCCTTGAATAGCCGTATTCCACAGCTACTTTGGCCTAGGACAGGTTTACGGCAACGTCTGCAGCATATAATGCTTGCAGAACAAATATTCACTCTTTCCTTTGTCTACTCGTGTTGTGTTGGTGCATTTTCAAGCTCTGTGACATGTTTTTGTGCAGGCTTGGACATAACACTTGCCCTCATGGAGAAAGGAGAGATTGCTGAAATTGTGGTCCCGGCCAGGCTGGGTTATGGAGACCAAGGAAGGTGAGACGGCCATACTCACGCATACGCACTGATATGTCTTCATTACTGTCTTGTTACAAATTGCGATTATAGATTGCAGATAGATTATAGATTACAGTCATATATTGCGAGCAGAATTTTGAGCAGCTTTCTTCGACGAGCTCACACAAAGGTCATGTGAGTTCTCTTGCCTAATATAGTTGCGGGAGAATTTACACGTGCATCGTGGCTTGTCATGCGAACGTATACAGTTCTCAGGGTATGTATGTTTGGGAGCGAGGAACAGTCCTAACAAGTGACAAGGCTATTTGCAGGTTTAGAAACAACGCTTTATACACACACAAAACATGCGCCCTAAACAAGCTATTAAAACACAGCGAAAACATAAACTAGAACCAAAATTCAAGCGCTCGGGGTGGACACAGGCTCACCTGCTTCCATGTCCATCTGGTACGGTCGGGCATATTGCTGAGGCATAGCATCGAGTTGAGGTGCTGAGCTTGTAAAGGGCAGCTTCGGAGTGGTTGGCACAGGCTGCTGCTAGATGCTTTCCAATACGAAGCGCTTGGAAACGGAGGAAGTTGGCAATCACGTCACGCCCTCAGCGTCAACTCGTGGACGGCAACACTCGGGTATCGCACTCAGGTCAGGCCATTCGACTCTCTCGAACAACTCGCGCTGTCTGCCCCTTCCTTTCCTTTTCCCCCACTTCCTTCCTCGTGCCCTGCGTCTTTAGCACGTGACTCATCGTCCTCATCAGCTTCTTCATCAACTCACTCGTTGGCGTGCACACCACGGTACTACAAGGACATCTTGTGTGAATAGAATGACATGCTAACAGTGTCACTTAAAGATGTACTAATGGTTCAAAAGTAATAAGATTCACACATGACTGTTAGGTTTGCTATCGCATTCTTAGGTGCATCAGGTTGGAAGCTTCTGTTCCAGCGTTATTGTAGCTCAGTAGATTTTGTGGATGTGTATTAGATATGGCCAGCTTTGGGCAAGTGAGGATTACTGTGGCAGGTGCTCAAGAGGCCTTTCTCACCATTTCAGGGAGCCAGATGTGCCCCCCAAGGCAAAGCTGCACTTCAATGTGGAACTGCTGGACACCTATCCTGCCAAGGATGAGAGTGACCTGCCTTTCCAAGAACGCCTCTCCATTGGGTATGTTTCAGGACACTAACACATTGCTCTTGGCTTGTGTCATGTTACTGACTCTATAGTCTACCTGCTTGTTTTTGGCTCGTGCTGTGTCTGACCATGCTTGATGTGGTGCTCATCGAGCTAGTTGTAGGTAACATTTATTATTGTTTTAAATGTAGCAGTCGATGCATATAATTAACCATCCTAATATACCGGGCATCTTCGAGACGTCAGAATTAGAGTAGGAAAAAAGTTGGGAAAATACGGTAAATTTTTGCTGATAACAGCAGCAGATATCAAATTTTGTACTGTAATCGACTTTGTGATTGCAAAGGATTTCTTATCTAAACAAACTTGCTTCATTTAATTGCCTTGAGGGTCCTGTAATTGCCGCATTAAAGTCATTTAGTACAATGCTCAACACACTAGTCTAAGACACTTCGAAGGCACGCCCCAGCACGTTCCAGCAAGCTCCGATGCTGTGTACTCTAACAAGCAGTTTGAGATGAGCCACACTTGAGCATTCATTCTTAGTGGCCATGCATGCTATGATTAGGGCTCTTTCAAACCTGGTGTTTTTGGCGAATGTCATCAGTGCTGTCAGGTGCCCGCTGTAAGTGTTCAAGACAAGCTTTTTGACCTCTGTATGTATGGACCTTCTAAATTTTCGATCGCTTCCTAAAAGCTTTCTGTTTAAATCTGGTTTCGAGAAATCTGAACTCACTCTCAGTGCTGTAACATATTGTGACGGAGGGGTGATCAAGGTTTATTCAAGCAGCTGATCGTCAGCCAGATGATATGGCGGATAAGTACCTCGCTGCAGCTCTACGTTTTCTCGTCGTTTTCATCTTCGGCGACCACCACCCTGGTTGATGTCTATGTTGCGCCGTAATATCACCCTCCCGTGGCGAAAGTGCCATCGCAGCGCTTTCCAAGGTGATGAAGAGCTAGCAGGGCAATATGGTTTCAGTCTAGAAACGTGTACGATGTCTGTCTGGGTTGACGTGGTCGAAGAAGCTGAGTCCGCAGGTGCGATTTCATAATTGACGTCGCTAAGCCGGCGGAGTACTCGGTAGGGGCCGTTGTAACAGGAGAGAAGCTTCTTGGATAAGCATACTTTGCGGAAGGGGGACGATAGGAGTACCAGAGATCTCGGTATGTAGTGGACGCGTCGATATCGACTATCGTAGCGATCTTTTTGCTGAGCTTGCGACAAAGATAGTCGGTCATTGGCGACTTGTCGAGCTGTATGTGCTCGACCAGTGACGTCGCTGGCGTATGTAGTAGACAAGGGTCTGGTCGAAGGAAGGAAGGTCTCAAATGGTAACCCTGGATGCCGACCAAATAGCAAATAGAATGGTAAATAACCCGCTGTACTATGTCGTGAAGAATTATAAGCCAAGGTGACAAATGGCAGTGCACTGTCCCAGTCACGGTGATCGGACGAAACGTACTTTGACAGCATCTGAGTAAGCATTCGATTGAGACGCTCGGTCAATCCATTCGTCTGGGGAGGATCGGCTGGGGTAAGCTTGTGCTGAGTGGAGCAGGTATGGAGAATGCCGTCGACGATACGTGAAAGGAAGTACCTTCCTCGATTGGTAAGCAGCTGTGGAGGAGCGCCATGATGTAGAATGACGTCGTATTATAGAAAGTCAGTGACGTCGGTGGCACAACTCGGCGGCAGTGCTCGAGTGATGGCAAAGCGTGTGCTATGAACCACGGTGACAGCAACCCATTTATTAGCCGAGGTAGACATAGGAAAAGGGCCTAGCAGGTCAAGTCCAACACAGAAGAATGGCTCCATGGGTATGTCGATGGAGTGTAAGTGGCTAAAAGGCAGTACCAAGGGGCGCTTTCATCATTGGTATTGGTCACATGAAGCGACGTAATGAACCACAGTACGGCACATGCCGGGCCAGAAAAAGTGACGTCGCACTCGATCGTATGTACGAGAGACACCAAGGTGACCGGCAGTTGGTATATCATGAAGTTGTTCCAGGACACTGTTGCATAGATGGCAGGGTAGCACAAAAAGTAGTTCCAGGCCATCAGCATTGAAGCTGCTATGGTACAGGATGTTGTCATGCAGCTTGAACAGACGGGTCAGGTGACGGGGACGTTAGACGGTCGATAATAGCCACTAATGATGGGTCCCATCACTGCTCACTGGCGATGTCAAGCAAAGCGTGGATGGACAGCACGCAGGGGTCCGAGTCAGGGTCGTGTAGTTTGTGCTCTTCAACTGGATGACGTGACAAACGTGGATGACGTTTGCATCTGCGTGAAGTCGCCCCGACTTGTAATGTACCTCAAACGAATATTCCTGCAGACTTAGTGCCCAGCGACCAAAATGACCAGACAGTCTTTTAGTGATGAGAGCCAGCTGAGAGCGTGATGGTCCGTGACTATGGAAAACGTTCAGCCATATAGGTAGGGCCTGAATTCGGTCACAGCCCACACTAGCGCTAGGCATTCACACTCGGTGATTAAGAATTTCTGCTCGGCGGGCGAAAGGAGACAACTGGTACTGGTGTAAGCAATTACTCGATCCTTGCCATGCTCTCGTTGACCGAAAACCACCCCAATTTCATGGCCACTGGCATCGGTCCGAAGCTTTGTATGCGAAGCAGAGTCGGAATGGGCCAGTATTGGCGGCATAGTCAGCACATGAATAAGGGTAGAAAAAGAGTCAGCTTGCTCGGCATCCCAAGTGAAAGGAGCGTCCTTTTTTTTTAGAAGATCAGTAAGAGGTCCGGCAATGTGAGCGAAGTTGCTGACGAAGCGACGAAAATAGAAACATAATCCTACAGAACTGCGGACGTCCTTGGTTGAGCACGGTACAGGAAATTCTCGCCCTGCCCGCACCTTATCATGGTCCAGTTGAATGTCGGCAGCACTTACAAGGTGACCGAGTATAGTGATTTTGCACTGTCCAAAACAGCACTTTGCTGAATTCAGTTGAAGAGTGGCTCTGCGAAAAACATCCAGAACGGCAGACAGACTTGTGAGATGGCTGTCGAACATAGGGGAATAGACAATGACATCGTCTAGGTAACATAAACAGATGGACCACTTATATCCACGAAGCAGGGAGTCCATGATGCGTTCGAAAGTTGCCGGGGCAATACAAAGTCCAAACGGCATGACCTTGAATTCGTAGAGACCATCAGGCATCACAAAGACAGTTTTTCGCGGTCCATGGGGTCTGGGGTCGACTGAAATTTGCCAATAACCGGACCGAAGGTCCATCGATGGAAAGTATTGCGCACTATGAAGGCAGTCGAGAGCGTCATCGATCCGTGGCAAAGGGTAGACGTCTATGAGGTACTTTGTTTAAGTAGCGATAGTCAACACAAAAACGCCAGCTTCTATTCTTTTTTTTTTTTAACGAGCCCCGTTGTGGTGGTCTAGTGGCTAAGGTACTCGGCTGCTGACCCCCAGGTCACGGGATCGAATCCCGGCTGTGGGGGCTGCATTTCCGATGAAGGCGGAAGTGTTGTAGGCCCGTGTGCTCAGATTTCGGTGCACGTTAAAGAACCCCAGGTGGTCGAAATTTCCGAAGCCCTCCACTACCGCGTCTCTCATAATCATATGGTGGTTTTTGGACGTTAAACCCCACATATCATCATCATCGGCATCCTTTTTTTTTTTTCATGAACACGATAAGGGAGGCGCACAGGCTAGACGACTGCTCTATAACGTCCTTAGTGATCATTTTGTCAATAATGCGCTGAATTACTTGGCATTCCTGATGAGATACGCTATATGGACGCCGGCGTATAGGAGTGGCGTCACCAGTGTTGATCCGGTGAGTAATGACAAATGTTTGACCGAGAGGGCGGTCGTCGAAGTAAAATATGTCGCAATAGGACGCAAGCAAATGATGGAGATCTGTAGCTTGCGCCTGGATTAAATCGCCATCGTGATCATTTTCGCGATGGCATCAGGAGGCAGAGTAGAACTAGCATCAATATATGGTGACGAAACATCGGTGTCCAAAGCGACAATCTCGGTGTCCAAAGCGACAATCATGCAATTGTCTAGCGAAGAGATGGTGGCCAATGACTTGCCTTGAGGAATCACTTGAGTTGAGACTTGCATTGAGAAGTGGATTGACCATCGTATTTTCGACCACAGAAGCAATCGTGGGAGCAAGGGCGATGTCTTGCGTCATCAGTACGTCAACAAAAGGAGACACGAGGTAGTCACCATCGGGCATATCACATGAACAAGACAAAACGACATAGGTAGCAGCTTGCTGTGGTAAGCGGGTGTGATGGTAAGAGCACAAGCGGGGAGGCAGGTCCGCTGGAAAATCGGCAAGCTGCGGCAACTCAAGCTGAAGAGCACCTGTTGCACAATCAATCAGTGCCAAGTGACTGGAGAAAAAATCCAAGCGAAGGATTAGGTCGTGGGGACACTGGTCAATGACGGCGAATTGAACAGAGTTAGAATAACTGGCTATACAAATACAAGCAGTGCACTCTACGTGAACGACAGCAGTTCCTCCATCGGCGACTTGGAGTGTGCGGGAAGCGGCAGGTGGGAGGACTTTAGCAGGCGGCAGCGAAGGTTTGCGCTAATTACTGAAACGTGTGCTTCTGTGTCAATAAGTGCCGAAATAGGTACGACGTCAATGTCCATTAAACTTTGTCTCGTCAAAAGAGGATTTTCGGAGGAAGTCGACAATGCAGCGTCACCTCCGGGCGCTGCACTGTTTAGTTTTCTGGGTAGGAAGGAGCAGGGTTGAACGGGGAGGACGGCCGGTGAGTCTGTGGTCAACGAGACGACTGGCGATGACATGGAGGAGAGCGTGACTGATGACCACTGGGCGACGGGCAGTGGCTGTAGAGCCTTGTGCATACGTTGGGGGAAGAAAACTAGGTCGGCGGAGAAAAGCGGGTGTCACCCTGTCGGCGGTATAGGGCAGACGATGTCCGAGGTGGCAAGGACTAGCAGGCATTGCAATAACGGACTACATAGCCGATACGATGGCAGTGGAAACAAATCGGCCGGTTGTCGGCAGTCCTCCAAGCTTCAGGGTCGCGAGAGCAGGCGGCAGGAAAGCACTGCTCGGGACAGGACGAGTCTGGACACCATGAGGTTGGCTGTGGACTGGTCATAGCACACACCGAGTGGATGCCGATGTTGGCGTGTTCCTGACACAACGATGGCCTGAATCATGGGAGCAGTAACTGGTGTCGTATCAGCTTTACCGGTGTAAGCTGGAGCAGGAGCAATGGCTTCAATTTCACTACTTACAATTTTAGTCTCCTGGTCTGGTGAAACAGGTGCTGGTGATTGCGTTCTCGCGTGATCTTTGCACGAGGACATTGCAGTCATGTTGTGAAGCCGGGCAAAGGCGCCGTTGATGCTTGCTCACAGCGCCTGCACTCCTTTATAATGGCGTCCACGGTTGAGTAATTCTGACATATTAAGAGATTGAAGGCATTGTCGGCAATCCCTTTTTAAGAATATGTCCAACTTTGTTGGCCTCCGACATCTCGGCATTGACTTTCCGACTAAAAGAAATCACATCTTTGATGTACGAGATGTACGATTCTGTGGACGTTTGCACCCGAGACGCGAGCATTTTGTTTGCAGCCATCTTTTGTCCAGCAAGCTTCCCGAACAAGGCCAACATTTTCTGCCTGCACATTTCCCAGCTCCCAAGTTCTGCTTCATGATTTTCATACCACACTTTGGCGGTTCCCTTAAGGTAGAACAACAGGTTCGCCAGCATAAGAGTCGGACTCCGTCGGTATCGAGTACTCGCACGTTCATACTCTGCCAGCCAATCCTCAACGTCCACTTCATCTGGATCGCCGGAACCGCTAAACGTGCCAGGATCCCATGGGGGTTCAAGCACGAAGGTGGTAGTCGCTGGAGCAGATGTAGTCGCCGCATCATCTCCTGCCACAGGAGCACGGGGGGGGGGTAGATGCAGACGCCGTATTTTCCATCATAGTTGCAGAGTTACCCCTCAAACGACGGCCGCTGCAAAGTTCGGTTGCGAGGTGATTACCCAGCACATCCACCAAGTGTGACGGAGGCGAGATCGAGGTTTATTCAAACAGCTGGTCGTCAGCCAGACAATATGGCAGATAAGTACCACGCGCCAGCTCTACATTTTCTCGTTGTCTTCATCTTAGGCGACCACTACCCTGGTCCATGTCTATGTTGCACCGTAACAATATTAATATGCCGTCGTCACAATACCGTCGAACTTCGCCACAACGAACGCCGCTTCAACAAATTTCCGCTACAACAAAAAATTTATGCTTCCCCGTCAGCAGTCCATAGGAGTCAATGAATAAATATTGTCGCCACAACGAACACTTTTTCTTCGATCGCCTCGCTTCAACGAAATTTAACAATGTAATTCCAGGCTCAGATAATTATTGCTATACAGTAAACTCAATCTTTAACATTTTGATGCATTTTCAGAGCCTGAAAATGCGTCAACAAAGTGTAAAACACGTGTTGACCCCACCAGAAACCGCTGCTGTATCGTCGTTATTCAGCAAGCATGGGTGCCGCCATTGCTCGATAGCGATAGCAGTGAGACTGCCCTGTTGTTTTGCCACTGACTTGCTTTTGAGCTGCAGACGACCGAAGCTGAAGCTCAGTCGCTCAGTTCATGGTTTCCTTCTCGCAGCTGCTTGGTGCAACCGCGGCACGATGCCTTTTCCGATTTTGAAGCTTATTATTACGTTCCCGCTTAGGCCAGTGTGGTAACTAATCAGAGCAGCTGTTTGTCTGCATTATCAACAAAATCAGCTAGCCGCGAGTGATGGATGATAACCATGGCATAGAATAATGCAAAAGTCGTCGCTCCACGATACCCTGCCGCCATCTCGGCTTTTTGTGATACTTTTGACGGCGGACAGCTGCTGGTCTTAACGTGTTAATGCAATGGTTTGGTTCATTCACAACAGCGGTTTTAGGCGTTGTTTCAGCGTGCTTTTAACTATAGCCTCGCTATGCATGGGTGAGAATAGTGTCGTGATGCTGTTGGGAAAGAATAGGAAGCATCGGACATTTTTTGAATGTTGAGAATAAACGTTCCTTTGTTTGGTTGCTCAGATCAGCTATATTTTCTTTGATTTCACTACAACGAAATTCTCGCATCAACAAAATTTTTTCCGCGCCCCGTTAGTTGGGCTGTAGCCGAGTTAGACTGTAGTTCCTCTCTGCATTCTGTGTGTTGTATAAGCTACTCTTGAACCTGGCGTCGTCATTTCATATCTTCCAAGTTTTTACTGATGTGACCCTTCTTCGGTTGTTTGCAGTGATGCGAAACGCGAGAGGGGAAACTTTTGGTACAGCCGTGGCGACTACTCTAATGCAGCACACTGCTATAGGAGGTGAGAGAACCGTTATTTGAGTGTTTCTTGGTAAGTTGTGTGGCGGTGTATTATAAGATTCTAAGTTGAGAAGACTGCACAATTGCTGTAATAGAAAGATTCCTGATCAGTCTTTCCCAGCTACATTGCTGATGCATCTACAAAAAGAGCTTTCACTGCATTGTTCAATGGCTGTAGCAGTGCACTGGCTACTATTTGGCTGTTTCTTTTGTCTGCTAACAAAACTGGTCCATCGTGGAATCCCAAGCAAGCATTGTCCCTACGATGAAAGATAATTCCAAAAGATTTGGAGTGGGGAGGGGGGCTTGCTCGATCAGGGATCAAAATTCGGGATGCTGGCGCAAAAAGGGCTGAGAATAAAATTGGCACACCCGTGCTTCTAATTAAATGCTTTATTGAATACACATATATTCACTGCTTTTATTCATCCTCGTTAGGCAAATAAAAACAGTGAATAAAACAGTGCCAATGGCAAGAGGGCAGAAGAGTGCACGTATTTGAAATTTTTCAAAGAAGGGAAAGGGGCACTTGCTCGGGATTTTACGGTAGCTTCTGAGGGTGGCGCATTCATTCGTGTAAACGGTCAAGTTAGGCTGTACCTAGTACAGCCTACTTTTATGAACTTGAGCTTGTCAAGGGTGAATGAGATGATGAAAACGACCCATCTACATACCGTATTTACACGCATAATAGGCACACTCGCATAATAGGCACACAACCTGTTTGGTCGCATGAAATCATTCTTTTAATATTTTTTGCATAATATTTGCATCTCCAGCTTGGCCATAATCACTGTATTTCAACAGTTGCCAATCGACGTCTTGTTGCATTAACTGAAGCAAGGAAGAAAAAACAAGAAGTGACCACGGCAGTGCTGGACCAGCTTTGCGGGCTCACCGAGTGAGGAAAAAGGGCAGTTGCTAGGGCACCGGAGTAGCCTTTGCAACAACGCGCGAATGCAGCTCCGGCCGCTATGGGCACATCCGTCCTGCACACTGAATTCGATGTCCCGCATTTTCTGGACCAGTAATATGCAGCCACTTTATTGGAGACGGTTAGCATGCCTACAGCACTGTTATTTTCATTCACCATGGTGGCCTATTGATCAGTTAAAACATTGCCCTTCTACGCTCGAGAATGGATTCTCAATTCCTGGCCACTGCGGCTGATTTATGATGACGGCAGAATGCAAAAAAAATGTATGTGTACAGTTAAACTCCTTTATAAGAGGCATGTTCCGGGCAGCGATTCTGGTCTTTTATATGAAATGTCTCTTATAAGCAGGGTACCTCGTATGCATTTTCCTATCCCCCGTATTTTACTGTAGGCATACTGGTGTCTCTAATAAAGGGGTTCGACTGTACTTACTAGGCTTGTGCAAATATTTGAGCACTTCGAATGTTCGAACGAATACCAACGTACTAGAATTCACTTCGAGGCAAATTTAAGTCGCAGGAAATTTCGAATTATTCAAAATAAACTAATAGGTGTGTGTATGTAAACACCGCTGTGAAACCATCTCTATGCGGGGAGTGTTGTACCGTGGTTACACAATTCCAGGAAAGAAATTGCACTGACGTTAAATGAACATATTACCCCCTCATCGATTCTTCCTTTTCTAAGTTTAGAAGCTTGCTATGCAAGCTTATATGCTCTAAGTATAGTAAACTTTGTAAATTAATATATTTTACACGTTATCACTTGCATTCTACCAAAGCCGAATCCAGCTACCATTCAAAGTTGTTTCCACTTTTTTTAAAGCAAGATGAGTGACACTTGAACGTGCTTTGTTTTGATTTAGAAAATATTGTGTAAATTAGTTGGGTAATAACTAATATACACATTTTTTATATATAATATGTGATATGCACTATTTAAATTCGATTCCAAATTATTTGAACCAAATCACTATTTGCTTTGAACCTACAATTATCTGTTCACACAAGGCTAGTACTTAATTTTTATGTGCATGTTGAAGAAAGTCTCATAATCATACAGAATCCCTTACAATAATACCTGTAGTGACATTATGATCACAGCCCAGAGAAATTTTTTGATAGGTTGAGAAATTCTAATAAGCGAAGTCAAATTTGTGGCGATCTGTCGTATTTAGGCTCAAGAATTTGAGTTAAGGGCATGTCAGTGATAGTCCTAGTGATGAAATGACAGCGATGAAACGTTTGAAAATATTTGGTTCGTGCTGTTCCGATTCCTCCAAACATACACTGGTTCATCCAGCCAAGGTTTTGACAGAAACCAGCCTGGTCAGTAGGATCTCGATAAAAGCTAAAAAAGAACATCTGGACGCTGTTCCTCTTTTATTTTTTATCGCATACAACTTCATGCTGTACTTGGCGGTGTGTTTGTGTTATTTCTTTGATCTCTTTCTTTAACTCTTCTTTTCATTGCAGGGCATTGGATTTTCTTGACGACATGGGTCTGGTAAGGCAGAGTTTGGCTAACTTGCTGGAGTGATAATTGGTCGCCATACGTGATTAGTACTCGTGCTATTGTGCATGGCACAGATAGTTTTTATACAAGTTAAGGCATACAGCCTGTATCAGTGAAATAAAATAAATGCGAATGGGAGAAAGGTAAATTGAGACTGTGTAGCTCTCGTGCAGTAGCAGTGAGAAACGTTTTGATAGTGGGCATAAACAAGTCAAGTCGGTTGTGCTAAATTGTGTCACCAGAAATACTCATACCAGTAGCTTTGTCAAGCGCTCTTAAACATGGTCGTGGATTTGAAAGGTGGTGCAAGTTACAGGATAAAAAGTATAGAGTGTTTTGACATTTCTGTGCAAGGTTCAAGAAACCAAGTTTTTGTTTCACATATGTATGGTGCATGACTGGCTTAAACAACCAGTAAACACAAGACGAAAACACGTGCACTGCAAGTGCATTTGCTGTGAACAGGGTTCTGGGGAGCTCATGAAGTAGCAGTAAAACAGCTGAAACGTTTTATACGGCTGCTATTCCCGATTGGTTTGCACTTCTCCTGTAAGCACTACGGCACTGCAAATTTACTATTCATTCATCGACACTGATATTGATTCTTGCAGAACCTCTCAGAGTCACCCGCCGACCTCCAGTTGCTGCTGGATACACGGTTAAAAGTCTACAATAACCTAACAGCAACACAGATGAAGGTGTGGTAGACTTATTCCATGATTTAGTTATTCTTTATTGCTATACTGCTCTATTTACTTTTGATTTACATTTGTGCTACTGTATCAACTGTTCTCTTGTTAACTTTTATAAATTTTAATAGTGGGTATCACTGGATCTGTTAAGCACCAGCCACGGCCGTGAGTGGTGAGAGAGAGAGTATGAATGAAGGAAAGTCATGGAGGTTGATCAGACATCGTCTAATTTATGACCCTGCACATGAAGATAAGACAGGGGGAGTAAAATAGAGGGCTCTAGAGAGCATAGATCTTGACGATGCACAAATGCATACAGTCGAACCCCGCTACAACGAACGCTGCTTCAACGAAATTTCCGCTACAGCGAAAAATTCACGATTCCCTGTCAGCAGTTCATAGCAGTCAATGCATAAATATTGTCGCCACAACAAACACCTTTTTATCTGCCGTCCCGCTTCAGCGAAATTTCATGATGCAATGCCAGGTTCATATATTTATTGCTATACAGGAAAGCCAATGCGCCCCGCCGCGGTGGTCTAGTGGCTAAGGTACTCGGCTGCTGACCCGCAGGGCGCGGGTTCGAATCCCGGCTGCGGCGGCTGCATTTCCGATGGAGGCGGAAATGTTGTAGGCCCGTGTGCTCAGATTTGGGTGCACGTTAAAGAACCCCAGGTGGTCTAAATTTCCGGAGCCCTCCACTACGGCGTCTCTCATAATCATATAGTGGTTTTGGGACGTTAAACCCCACATATCAATCAAGGAAAGCCAATGCATAACATTTTGATGCACAACCTGAAAATAAGTCGACGAAGTCTAAAACACGCGTTGGCGTCACCAGAAACCGCCGCTATTCAGCAAGCATGGGCGCCGCCATTGCTCGATAGCGATGCAATGAGACTGCCCTGCCAGGCCCTGCTTTTGCCACTGGCTTGCTTTCGAGCTGCAGATGATCCGAAGCTGAAGCACAGTCGCTCGGTTCATGGTTTCCTTCACGCGGCTGCCATGGTCGCTGGGTGCAACCACGGAGCGATGTCTTTTCCAATTTCAATGCTTAATTTATTCGCGCTTGGTCAGTGTGATACCTAATCAGAGCAGCTGTTCATCCGTATTATCAACCAAATCAGCTAGCCCCGAGTGATGGATGATGAGAATGGCGTGGAATAAGGCAAAAGTCACCGCTCCACGATGCCATGGCTCCATCTCAGCATTGTCGGATACACTTTCACGGTGGACGGTTTGGTGTTAACAGTTTTAATGCAACTGTTTAGTACGTTCACGAAAGCAGTTGTAGGCGTTGTTTCAGCATGGTTTTCACCATGGCCTCACTATGCATGACTGTAAATCGCACCGTGGAGTGCTGCTGGGAAAGAATAGGAAGCAGCGGACACTTCTTTAATCTTAAAAATAAACATTTCTTTGTTTTGCTAGCTCAGATCAGCTATATTTTTTCAATTCCACTACAACAAAGTTCTCGCTTCAACGAAACATTTTCTGTGCCACGTGAGTTTCGTTGTAGCGGGGTTTGACTGTAACAGTGCAGCATGAGTATAGTTAGGCACTTGAATGAGTCATCATTCTTTTATTGCAAAAGGGCTAGCGTGACTTTCTTTCTTCTCCCCTTGCGGCAAAACTAATTTGTATAACTCTGTGTTAAGCAAACTTCTGTGAAAACAGTGTGAAAAGTGTTACATTTTAGTTTTATAACCACTTTGCACGAAGCAGTTTCTAATTGAATAGTCTCAGTTTGTTTTTCTTCGAAGAGCTGATAAAGGAAGGCTCGCATTTGAGCTATTAAAAAAAAGATAGTTTATGTCTTTGACAAATCAATAACTTGACAAAAAGGAGTTGCATCATCAAAATATTGAATCAAAATGTGTGTTGGAAATGAAATAGCTTATGACAGACTTTTTTGTATTTATCTACTCATTTTATGCTGTGTGCTCTTTTAACAATTGTTACATTCATTGTATACTTCTGTTCTGACCAGATGAAGGCCTATGACGCAGCGCTTAAGTCGGTGGACTTCGTTCTGAAAGTTCAGCCCAACAATGTCAAGGCATTGTACCGGAAGGGAAAGGTCCGTGCTACTGTGTGTTTAAGACATTCTTCCAACACTGTTGTTGTTGCTGGTATTTAGGACAGTGTTCCAATGTAATTTAAAAGTTTTGATGCGACCCAAGCTTCCCTACCCAGTTAGTCCACATACTGAAGTTAGGCTGGGGGGATCTGTAATATTTAAGCCTTAGCATTTCGTTACAAATTCAAAGTAAAGCAAAAGTTTACGAAAAAGGATATAGGTTACCGTTCAAAAACTTCTTTCAAGGTTTCCCGTCCTCTTGCATCACCTTTTGCATGGAGAGATGAAATGCTATATGACTCGGAATGAATTAAACGATACAGTAACCATACCTGTAAGTTCAGATAGAGGAAATGACCAAAATTGAGCGAAGTTGAGGTGTAACAAAAAAAAATGAAAGAAGGAAGGCTGATCCTTCTTTTTAGAAATCTGTATAGCGCAAAAGTAGAGCATGTGTTCACAGAGGTAGTTGAGCATTTATTGTGCATTGTTTCAGCAGAAGGACGGGCGAAGGAATGAATACTATAGCAACAGAGTGCAAGTGGAAATTTTAGGGCTTGTTTTCTTTGTTAGACATGATACTGATGAGAACTCAGTGACAATGATATCAAGGTAAATATAGGGGATGTTCTTATGGATAATTGTAATATAAATGTAAAAAAAAAAGTGGACTGAGCCTGTGACCTGCAAATGATGCTTCCGATGCTCTACCCTAAGCTTTGTAGAGTATATGTGTGCGTCTCTCTGAACAGGCAGAAGAAGAGTGTTGCACTCTTGCTCGAACAATCGAGAACTTCTTATCGCATTCACTGTCTGCTAGTGCAGTAAACAACGAATTCTTCTTATTACATGGCCAAGGAATAGAGCATGAACACTTTCTTCGATTCTTTACAGATACTGGCTGACCAAGGCAATTATTCCGAAGCTGTTTCAGTTTTAAAGAAAGCCCTGAAGCTGGAGCCTGATACTAAGGTTTGTGTAACTTCCTCAGACTTCACAATTAACTTCGACAATTGACTACGCAGGTTATAATGAATGACTAGCTTGTTTAGAATGGAAAAAAAAAGAGTACTGTTCAAATTAAGAAGCAAATCGACTGTTAGTAATGCTTCGATTCAAACTTCCATACCCACTAGCATCGTCTGTTTTCTCTAAGCAGAAGCGAACATGCTCTGTAGCCTCAAAAATCTCACAGAGCATCGTCACGTGCACGGAAAGAGAGGCGAGTTCACTAAGGTGAAAAAAACCTAACTATTGTAGGAAACCGATCTCAGTGAACTAAGGTGTGCAATGCATGAGTGGTATTGTAGGTAAACGCATAATAAGGATCCAAAAACTGACACTTTTTCACTCATTAAGCATTGTGTTTTCAGTGTGGGGCACGTTAAAGAGATCACCAAAGGGAGAAGCAATGTCTCTGTTCTCAGCAAGTTGTCCTTCACAATACCAAGAGCCTCGCGCTTACCACGAGACGACACTTTGTAAGCGGCAAAGCAAGCAGAAAGAAAACACGGGTGACGACGCTAGGATGTGTTTGAATAGGAGGGGTGGGTCCTGTTTCATTATTCACTCAAAATTTAGAGGTGGCGCTGCATTCTTCTTCACCTGAAGCTCTGATCTGTTCCAAGGGTTTGAGGCGAGTGGCACTCTGGCGAGGGCACAGAGCTGTGATCTACTCGATGTTGGATCGCCTGTCGGATGCCCGATCGCTGGCGCATCGTTCTCGGCATTTGTTCGCTAGCTTCCTTCGTTCAGCCTTGTTGGTGTGAAAAACCAGTGAGACTTAGCAAAGTTAGCGTGAGCATAATAACCATCGAGCAGTGCATTCACTGAAATGCGTGCATATCCTCCTTTTTAGTCGAATTAGTCTTGAAGAGCTTGACACGTGAATTCCGTACCGCTGGCCAGTGGCTGCCACGGGCAGTTGTAACTATGGCACTTATGGCCATAATCGTGGCAACCACTGTCAAAGCTTCAGTTGAAAATGGAGGTGTTGCTGTCCTGATTTTTATCAAAGAATGCCTCTACGCAGAGCAATCAAAGTTCTCACGCCAACTTACCACGGCTTCAGAAATTTTGATGGAATCTGCTGAGCCTACAGAATTGTGTATCTTTGTAAATTGATTGCAATACGTTCTAAGAGAGGCGCAAAAAGCACACAGCAAGCGCTGGAAAATTCTATCGATGCATTCCTGCCTGATTATGAAGAAAGAATGAAGTCCCCGACATCACGCTGACACTCAGGCTCGAAATTCAAGAGCTAAATCCTAATTTTCATTTTCTTGCCTTATAATGAACCTGCAATGGTTAAAGTTTCAGAACAGTTCTCAATTGTCAGCATCACACTGCTTCAGTAATTTCTTTCGTGCCCGTTTAACAAGCCCACTGTTTCTCTGTCTACAGATCATTCAGCAGGAGCTCTCACGACTCATGTGGCACAAAGAAAGACAAGACCGCGTCGAGAGGGCCATGTACAAGCGTATGTTTGGCGGAAGCAACAGCAGCGATTCCAAGGAATCAAGCAAGGGCTCTCGCTTCAGCAAGGTATAAAATTCGGCACCGTAGCTGGTTAAGCGCAGCTTTTACTTTTTGGACGAAGAAATACTGCAATTAAGGGCCAGCAGAGTTTGTGCAGCCAAGACTCGGCTGATTGACCAGCAGAGTTTGTGCAACCAAGACTCGGCTGAATGGGGCAGCACAATTTTTTTTTTGTCTTGTGTGCATGGAGGTTCTACTACGTGATAAAAGAGCTTGGATTTGGCACCTAATGATTCTGAGAACACCTTTGTATATACAGTGGAACCTCTTCATGACAAAACCCTCTCGTCTCTCAGTTCGTTCTGTTTAAAATGCCACTGGGACGCAGGGAGGGATTACCTCATTTATGGTAGGTTTTAAGTCTATAATAATAGAATTTTACAACAGGATTTTTGTGTGAGCTTGATGGGCAATTTTTCAGAGCCTGCTGTGGTCCCTACTGTTGTACTCCAGGCACTTGTGTGCTACAGTATAGCTGACAGTAGATAGCTAGAGAAATTACTCTATCGGTGAGGGCGTTCCCACCCCTAACCAGAAGCACCAGATGTAGCCCCAACTGAATTTCCTCCGCAATTCGCTGTGGCCTTTGTCAGGCAAATTTAGTACATTTAGAAACACCACCCGAATCTTTCTGGAAGTCTCAAGGAAGAAAAAATATTATTAAAATGACAGCTAAAGTAGGCTTGTGCGAATATTTGAATGCTTCGAACATTCAAACGAATAGTTGAGTATTTGAATCTGCCTCGATTCAAATTTACATTATTGAAAATTTCAAAGTATTCGCAATGAACGAATATGTGTATAGTAGTAGCATTAGTTCGCATGTGACTGTCACTAAAGTTGGTTTCGCTGCTATGTAGGCGTGCTAAGCTGTGAAAGCAGATATTTAGGGGAAATATGCTCAGCCGCGAAGCCCTCCCTCAAGTTTAAAGACGCCCGCTACACTTTTTCAGCACTGCAGAAAACACTGTTGATCGAGAGTCGAGGCTGTCGAGAACTCGCGAGCCAAGTATTTTAACGCAGCACAAGGCCCGCAGTTTACAATAAATTCTCAAAGTCAGCTAAATATTGCTTTCTTCTCTTGGCAAATGATGACACATGCTCAAAAATCACTCATCACAGCCATTGTATGAGACATTGGGGATTTAAACATGGCACGCTCGATCTTTACTGGGGCTGCCACAGGAGGCCGCCTCTTGTCCACGCAAACATGCGCGATCACACTGAAAAGCTGCATTTTCAAAGAAAAAAAAAAGAGTGCTCAAGGGCACGAGGCATGCTTGACATATTTTCTTTACTCGTGTCATCCCTCCCTGCTTATCTTCCAATGCTTTCGTCAGGACGAGAAGACAGAATGCAATTGAGCGTGCAAAAAATCTTCGCAACTCCATTCGTACTGGACGTATTCTAAGAATCTTTGCGGGGTGAATTCATGAGGCAATAAGCTTCTTTAGTGAATCCATTCCATAGCTACTTGAAAGGTGTTTCAGGACCCCTTTAAATGGACATATTGCCCTCAAATCAATTTTTTATTTTATTATGCTTAAATGCTTGTTTGCCAACTTATATGCTCCAAATATAATAAATTTTATTATGTTCCGTATTTCTCAGGTTATCACTTGCATCCTACTGAAAGTCAAACCCTGCTACTACTCAAACTTGTTTCAACTCCCTTTGAACGAAAAAAAGAGGACATTTACATAGAGGCATTATTTAAATTTTTAAAAAATGTTTTTCAGGTTATTTAGGTCATAATAAATATGCCCATTTTTCTTCATATGCTATATATACTATTTGATCAAGATCACTTTTTGTTTCAAATTTGCTTCAAACCTAAATTCATTATTTACACAAGCCTAACCTAAAGGCATTACTTAGAGTGGCTTAGAGCACTCGTTTGTCCTACCAGCATTTAGTTTCCATTTAATGATGCTTCTTTCAATTGCAGTGATGGTTCTAGTGTATTGCTAGTGCGCTTTCCTGTTGCAAGAGCACCGTGCGGTTGAAGAGAGTAGTGATCTCGACAAGAAAGTTCAAGTTAATGGCACAATTTTGTCGCAAAATGCACTACGCTGTGGAAAGAAAAGAAAAAGTACGACTGATTAGCAAAAGAAGGACAAATGCCGGCTCATGCGTGTCATTCTTTTGCTAAGCTTTCGTATTTTTTCTCTTTTGCGCTTTGCACACTGTGCCCCGAAATCATGCCGATCACTGCGAGAATTCACTGCAAGTTCTCTGGAAACCATAATTGTTTGCATGAGCTGCAGCATGCTCGAGTTTTGCTATCACACTGGCGTTTATGCACTTATTGGCTGCAATATGTTTGACATCTGCATGGTACAGAGTTGTTGTGGCAACTTCAGTTGTTGCCTGCACTTTTTGCAACCTAATTTGGTATCGCAAAACTGAGCTCTTGTGGCTGCTTGTGGAAGCAGGTTTGCACAGACAAACAGGATTTTTTTTTTTTTTTGCCACAACTTCGTAGATTGCGAAGGCGAAGCTCCATATCTCTCCATATCTGGCTGGTTGGTCTCTATTCCACCGGGTGGCACCACAGGCCTGGCCATTTAAATGATTTGCACTTAGTGTTTCAGGGCAAATGTTAAGAGGCCAGTTGGGTCAAACGCACCAGTGACATCACAAAAAAAAAGGAGGGGGGGGGGGGCACTCTTTGTGAGTGCACTGTAATCAGTAGTGACGCACATATTAAAGCCTCGTGATAAATTGTGCACTTTAAGCAAAGTGCCTAGGTCGGTCTACTGATGATCCAAAGGTCCCACACTAGAGGCTCTGTGGGTTTGCAAGATATCGACACAACTACTGGAAGGTCACCTTAACCCTTTGAAGTCCGAAATATTTACCCATCTTCTGTCTACTCAAGTCCCAAAGTTTAGAAGTTTAGAAGTAGTTAACCTACTCTTTTAGAAACTGTGCATAATGCAGCGAAAAAACTCGTGCATGAATCTACCATAAAGAGTTCGACCTGGTAACAGATAAATGCAGCCATGTTGTGCTGCCGGCAGCGGTGTGGCAATGAATAGCGAAGGGTAAATGTAGAAGGCTACATTGAAGATGTGACAGAGATAGTTGTAAAGCTTAGCAAGCTTCCCCGAGCTGTATCATATTGTGGAGCCCTAAACGAACTGAGGATGGCTGTTCTGCGCACGCAGATTCGTAACTGGACGTTGGTCTTGGGCAGCGCGGCGGTGGCAGCTGCGGCTGTGGGCATCGCTGCCTATCGCCACCTGGGTGCCATGTGACGGCTGCCTTCTTGGGGAATGCTGCACACCTGAAAAGAGCAACATACACATGTTGAAGCATGCGCCTCCTCTCCGTCCACTGCATGCAGTTGGACTCTGTTCTTTTTTTCTTTTGCGTGTGTGTGTATGTGTGGAACGGCACCAGCGTGATGACCACAACGAGGAGACTGCCGGCCTCCTCCGTTTGCTGTCACAGCACAACTTGTGATGGCGACTGGTGCTTGTTGTTGGATTTGTTCTTTCATGCTTTCTTAGTATTTTATTATATAAATTTCCCGCCCGTTGCTGTCTGGTCCCTGACACTAAGAATATTTTTTCCTGTAAATGCTTTTTGTCTTGTTTTGCACCATTGTTACTGTTTCACCATGCCTGAAATCTTTTGTACTGGTTGAGTTCTTATGCAAGACATTAGCCCCTTCTTGTTTTAAAGAAGTGCGCTTTTGCTCATGCACGTAGGATTTCCATTAGTGAAACCTGTTTGTTATGTTTTTTTATATTTTTCTTCTTCACCTGTTCTAATAGCAATACCATGTCATTGTTATGTTGAGTGTGAAAGGTTGTTTAATAAAAGTCTTGAAACAAGCACATTCGAGCGACTCAGGCAGCTTTAGCTATATTGTGTACAAACCACGCACTGGTTGTCTCACGACGCCATCTTTGTTGCGCGAACCCCATCGTAACCGGTGTTCCTGTGTAGATACTTTTGCAAGGAACAGAGTCGTACCTGTCTCTTCCTTGTCCAGCTTGCACTAATAGTAGCTGAGCATTATAATATTAAATGAAACATCAAATGTTCCAGTGAGCCACTCAAAAGCTTATTGCATATGAAATGTCTGAATTTTGCCTTGGCTATCTAGACATCGCACCATGGAGGCTGAAGTTCCGCTCTGCAAGCTGCCAGGTTCTAAGAGAGAGGTTGTGCCCATCATGCAAATGCACAAGGCAGACGTGCATTTGTGCGTTGGCACACTAAGCTTGGCTCCTGCGTGAGCAAGGAGGGATGTCACTGCATAGCTTTCGAACAAACATGGTGGATCTATGTGCAATTGATCTTTGTAGGAGCATATTCAAGGACACTAATCCGAATCACTGTTGCAACGGCTGTTTGCATTATGGACCGTCAGCGTTAATTCATACGCAAACTGAAAGCAACTAGACTGTTTCATTTCATGTCCTGTTTCACCTGTTTGCAATAACAGGGGCTTAATTCACGTCCCACAATGGCCGTTTGGACCAATGCCCTGTTAAATTAGATGGCTGCACAACAGTTTGGCCTAGTGCTTAGTTTTCATTAGAAAAAGTAATCACTTCTATTAGTCTGGTTTGTATTTGGGGTTACAATGATGATACACAATGAGTGCTGGTGTTGAATTTAACTTGTGTGCATGACTTATGCGATCTGTCTTTTTTTTCTGCATCTAAAATACCACTAGCCAGTGTACAGCTTTTTTTTTTTTTTTTTCATAATAAAGTGCCCAGATTTCCTACACACTCTGAGGTGGCCTTTCACGCACATTTCCTGTGCTTGTTATGTAAACTTCACCTTTTTATATCGTCATGATTGAACATATTAAGATGCCAAAGGTTCTAGATCCCTATTGTTTCTGGCTGTTTGACATGAGTAAATTGTTGTTTTGTGCGACCATGAATGGTATCCACCACTTATTATATAGTTTCTCTACGCGTATGAAGTGTTTGTAAAATATGTTATCGACTTGGTTGCTGTACTGCAAGGAACCCTGTTTTTAGTGCTTGGTTAGACTTCGAATGCAAGAGTGCCTACAGTCTTTAGTCTTGTAAAAGGTCGTAATGAAGAGGCTGGTTTTGTCGGAAGCTTGCGTGTAACTTCAGTACTTTTAACAGCTGTGAATGTTGTTGCATGCTCGCCACATTACTATTGTGAGCCTTTTTCTATTTGCATTCAATGAGTCATTGCAAGCAATTGTGCTCAGCTGCTGAACGAAATTGCCTATATTGGAGCAGAGCTTATACTGACGTTTGCTAAGTTTGCACAGTTAGTCCTGTTCTTGTCAGCTTCGGGTAGCAAGCATAGAATGCTACAGTAGAGCAGAGAATTCTCTACTGTAGTACTTTCAGTTTCAACTCATGGTTTTCCCACAAGTTATTCTCACAAGCACTGACTGTGGCCTCAACAGAGGAACTGTTGCCAGGGTGCTACCATTTTCCCAGCAACTTTGCTGTAGCTTAGCTTATGAAAGTAGAAGACGGTGTTGTCTTTGGTCTTGCTAACCCACAATCTTCACTCTAATGTGACAATTTCCGACAAAATATGGGCCAATTACAAGAGCAAGCAGTACTATAGCAAACTCCTAGTCATGTGACTTTAACGGCATTCACTTGCACACTGTCGGTGCTCATTAGCGCTGGCTACTGTTGGCTGAATTGTGGCTGAATAGTGGCGAATATTCACTAGTGATAGCTATCTGCTTTTATAATAGAGTGTTTTCATTCTAGCTCGATTCAGTTGATCTAGTTCATTAATCTTTTTATGCTTTACTTATACTTTCTGGCAAGTTTTCTTGCCATTGCATGATGCAGCTAGTTTCTTTTGTCTGTCACCTCGAAGTCAATTTGTAGCAATTTCTTTTTACAAGGCATTTAATAATGTGTTTCTGCTTAAGTGCCTCTGTGTCGGAAACTAAATAACTGTATCAGTATAGTTCAACATTAGGTTATCATACATTTATAAGCATTCCAATGACTGTTAATGTGTATGTGCGTGAACGATCACAGTGTTGCTCTGTTATCCTTTCACTTCATTTTTTTTATAGGAAAAAGGGTTGATGTGAAATTTTACTATAGTGTTAATATATGTGCAGTGGTGTATAACCACATGTTGATCTTTGGGGATAGAGCTTGAACAAAGCACTTGCCCAGGCATCTTCTATGACCTGTTCATAAGGTTTGTTTGCCAAAACTGTTCTAATAAAATGTTTCATTCCTGCATTGGCTGTGGTGGTGCCCTGCTGAGTCGTGAGTGACGGGTTCGATTCTCTAATAAATTGGTTCATTTCTGCATTGGCTACGATGGTGCCCTGCTGAGTTGTGATGGGTTCGATTCTGTCACCGGAGGCCGCATTGCGATTTAAACAGAATGAAAAAACATCTGTTCACTCTGGGGTGCAAGATGCATCATGATGGAGTGCCATGTGCATTACAAAGCACCCGCTACAGTGTTTCCCTGTGCCAGATCTATAATTGTTCCGGCATTCAACTCGCTGCAAAACTAGAGCTCGTTCGTACACAGTTGATTGCTTAATTTAGCTCTTCATCTTTTACACTTCTTTATGTCTAGTTGAAAGGTTAGTATGTTCGCATTTCTGTGTCTCGGCAGAAACATCTGGATGAGGTGGTCTGCATAAGGAAGAGATTACTCGGTGCCTAAGCTTTCAGATATTTTGCAACATCTACATAATTGAGCTTGTAATGCATTTTGAAGATTGTTCGGTTTGTTTAGTTGGTTAAAAATTAGTTGGTTAAAATTCAGTTAGCAAAAAGATATTTTACTCTATGCTTTGTACCTTCCCTTAGAAGTGTACTGATGGTGAATGTTTCAAAGCGCAATAGGATACTTGCTTTCAGCAATTCCACTCAGCCTAGTTCCAAAGTTTAGCAAATAAAATAAGACAGAGCAGGTAAATTAAGGCGCTGCAGTTTAAATGCCAAGGTCATTCCATTCTGCTATGGTAGATGACCATCAAAGCTGTAACTACAGTGGTAAGTCAACTTGTGGTCAACTGGGTATTGGAATGCCGAAGTGTTAACCACCATGTCTTAGACTGGTGGATGCACATGAGCAGCAGCCAGGATGAGACCATCCATACCTCCAGAACCCACCCATTAAGCTGTGCAACTCTTACGGGCCCGTTTCGTCGTCCATCTCGCAACCGGATTGGACTGCCCTACGAGGAGGGAGTCTGACCGTGCCCATGTATGGATAGTTTGTGGCGGGATCACGCCCACAATTCAATACATGCCTAAAGCATGCTTAGGAATGCTTCGAAACCGGGTTTAATATACGAACGAGTTAAATTGCAATAATCATAACCTAAAATAGCGAAAAAATCTTTGGTGTCATGTGGTTGACACCTGCCAAGAGGGCGCCACCGCCTGGCCAAGCGCGCTATCCTCCCACCGACGCTTCTCCGGCGCCTTCGTCGCTACTACAGTAGTCGCTACGTTTGAGAAGAAAAACAACCTGCACGGAACTCGCGCCAGACGACGCATATCTCAGCTACAGTAACGAGTGGAAAGTTGATAAAGTGCAGTAAAAAGCAGCGTGCATGACGCACCCCGAGTTTGGGAATCTCCCTCACAACATATTCTACTCGTGCCGAGGAAACCTCTTGGGAACCCTTCACGCTTACCTCTAAACCACGTCGTGCCTCAAACATCGACGTCATCGGTAGTTTGGTAAACTGAGCAGTGGGAATGCTACGAACGGGAGTCGCTGGGTGCCCGTGCTGCGCACCCCCTCAGATTTCACTGTAGTACGAGCTCTGCATGTAGCGCAGGGTTCACAATTCACCGACCAGTGCACACACTATATATATATATATATATATATATATATATATATATATATATATATATATATATATATATATATATATATATATATATATATATATATATATATATATATATATATATATATATATATATGTTTGTGGGTGTTTACTGTGTACATATACAAGTTAAATTTCTCAAAACAAGGTGCACCACTGCCTGCCTACACTTTGATTCTTAAAAATAGAACTACACTTTTAATACAACAATGGAATATTTGTGAAGCAGCACAGCTTAAGCTGTGCATACAAAATGAAAACTGGTTACAACGAATTTACGCAGATTAGCAGACGGGCTACATATACCATTGCTAACTTTCTATATGTTTGCGTGTTGCGTTTTATATGTAATAGGCCTTTCAGAAAGTATTAATTACTATCTTCTGCAACACTGGCATGATAAAACTGAGTCGTTACCGATTTAAATGTTGTAACACTGTTATTTATACTCGGGTTTCTCGAGAAACAATCGAGCGCATGTGGGCTCGTATGAGGAACACTGTGTTCTGTATATCGTAGAAACTGCCGACCAAACAAGCATATAATTTAATCGTGGGTTTGATACTTCTCTTTTTGTAGTTCGCCACTAGCCACTGATGATGTAACGCAACTCAAAGCACTGCTTGAGTGAGAAGCTAGGCGAATCCGTGCAAATACCGGTTGACTTTTGTGTGTGTGTGTGTGTGTGTGGGTCGGCTAGGCTATTGAAACAGTGAATGTACCGACGCAATTTCGGCGTGCTAGCATATTCATTCGTGCACCATGACGCGTAGCAGGTGCGTCCGCTGATTAAGGCTCAGAAACGCCTGAAACGCGCTAAAAACGACCAATTACACGCTACTGCAGGCTACATCGTGCGCGCTCCCAATGCAGACGCTCCTGAGATCTTCAGTACCATAGGACTATAGCGCCGCCGCTACTGTCACCCACCGGAGAATCAGCCGAGATGCAGGCGTGGCCGCCTCGTTCATTCCACTGCCCCCATCTATGCTGCCCCCTTCTAGTAGACTGTAACCTAGTTATAGAAACGTTCCTCATACGCAGAGTGGCCAACAAAAGAAATGGGATCAAGGAAGACAACCTCATCAGGTTGATGCATGCGTTTGTTCTAAGTCACTTCACATACGAGGCAGCAATGCACAACTGGTCAAGAGCAGAGTCCGAGACACTGAATGTGCTCCTCAGGAAAGTTATTAAGAAGGTCCTGGGCCTACCCATACATACCGGCACCGAGCGTCTGCTTGAGCTTGGCATACACAACACGCTCGAAGAAATAGCAGAATCCAAGAGAGAGCACAGTTTGCAAGGTTATCTACTACAAGGTCGGGGAGAGTGATCCTGCAGGAGCAGGGCCAACACCCAATGGCAATCAGCACAATTACAATGATATCCCTGACAACATCAGGGAGACTATCATGGTATCTCCTATACCGAGAAACATGCATCCAGAACACAACGTCGGAAGAAGAGTAGCGAGGGCCAGGACTATACTTCGTCAAGTCTCAAACGAGGAACGAGGGGTCGTATTTGTTGACGCGGCTTCCTACGTCCAATGGGAAAGCGTTTGTGGCAGTGGTAGTCGATGGGGCTGGCCACTGTCGTCAACTCAGCGACGGTCAGGACGAAAGACCCAATCATTGCGGAACAAGTGGCCATCGCCTTAGCACTCAAGATGGATAACATTGAAGTCGTCTACAGTGATTCCATGGCAGCACTACGGGCGTTCGCCAAGGGGACGGTCTGTGAACAAACGCTGAAAATACTGCAAGGCAAGAACATAAAACATCATCTGCTGAGTTGGTTCCCAGCTCACCTCGGACAAATCAACGATTCCCCTCCCAATCTCAACGAAGCAGCACACGAGGCGGCGCGAGAACTCTCCAACCGCGCCTCCCCGGGGATGCGTTCTACCGGTGAAGGGGATAACCGGGAAATTCTTACGACATATAACGAGCTCACTAAACATTTCTACCTTTCTAGAAGGATTTTCCCTCCACCTCACAAAAATCTAACCCGGCCCCGAGCACTTACATTAAGGCTTTTGCAAACGCGGATGTACCCTACTTTGAAAATGTTACACATCATGTACCCTGACCTATACCCAAGTAATCTTTGTCCACATTGTGGGGAAATAGCTTCATTAGAACACATGCTCTGGCAGTGCACCAAATTCGCTCATTTATCGCACATCACCTCTGCCAGATGGGAGGCGGCAATCCGCAGCTCGTCCTTGGCAGCTCAGCTCTGGGCTGTCCACCAAGCCCGCGAGGCGGCTGAGGAGCTTGGCATCTCAGTCTCCACGTGGGAGCTGCCCGCAACACAGTGATCTGTGTTTTGGAAGACCAAATAAAAGTTTATCCAATCCAATAGAAACGTTGGTCAGCGCGGCACCTTCGCTTTCGCTGTGCTGAAGTTTCTCGATTGTGGCGTCGAATCGCGTTGTTTCGTCGAAGGTGAAAGGGTGCCTGGCCGCCGATCACCTCATCCTAATCGGCTTAAGAGATTCCACTGACGAAACAGCGGAAAGTAGTCGCGCTGTGCGTGCAGACATCGAGCCTCTCGGCGAGCCGCATCAAAGTCGAAGAACCTTTCTAGCGAGCTGATAGTTCAAGAAGGCAAGTGCTCACGTGTTGCCGATTGCATGTATCCCCATTGAGTTCCGATTTCATGAGCACGTAGAAAAGTTGCGCAAGACGCGCTGACGAGCACGGGGTCATTACGTCATGTGAACGCAGCGCACAATATTGCGCACTACTGACGCAGGCCTTTCATTAAATATTATATTGTACTATAAAAAAATGGCAGATCCCACGTACAGTGAGAATCGATTATATGCGAAGCACGAATGATGAAGCTTGATATGACACTTTAAAATTACCACAACGTTAGGAGGTGGAGGTAAATTATGCCGTACACGACCTCCGTGTCATGATTGACATGTTTGGATGTGTCGTTTACCTTCTTCATCTATTCATGTCACGTATTATTTAATTTAGTATATGTGGAGCAAGCGAAACGGCTGTGAGCGCATATATCGTGGTATGTTGTCATGTTCTTACATGACACGCGTGTCAGGATTATCACGTTTGCACCAGTCATATATTTCGTCATCGACTGACGTTACGTAACACCAAATTTGATATATGTGAAGCTAGCAAAACGGCCGCGAGCGCATCATGAAGGGCCCAATATACTCCAATGTAGCGGTGACGCGCGCGCATGCTGGGCACAGTGACGCTACGTTAGCAAAACGCGAGCACTCTATAGTCTGACGCCAGGCGCGACCGACGTGACCAGCGTCCATCGGCGCGGCCCAATGGCAACCGGGGCGAATTCGCGCCGATGCATTACCCAGACAACACTGCGTCTCCCTCTTTT